TAAAAATATATTTTAAAAAAATTCAACACCTCAGATTGAGAAATCCCAACAAATTCTGAGCTAAAAGTCTATACCTAGACATATCAGACTGAAACCATAATACACAAAATGCAAAGAAAAACTGTAAAAGTATTCAGTACAACAGAAACAACAGAAGTCAGAAAAAAAATGAAATTATATCTTCAAAGTTCTTATTTTTGTTTATTCTTATTAGCCGTTTGCTAATTGAACACGTGACTCTTTCATGGAACATTAGCTCCTCCCAGCCACCATGTGACAGTGGTCAAGAGTATTGCCAATCAGGAGGCTCGCCTACACTTCGGCATCCAGAGCTGTTATTGAGGCTTCATGATAAATGCACGATTTATTGAATTATTGACCTCGTGGCTGGACTCAATCTCCAGGTCCATAATCTTCCTAAAAGTTACACTGATATCAAGTGGCTCAAAGCTACAACCCCTCAAATCACCTGGTTGGTATCTGGCATTGACCACCTCTAATGAGTCAGCTCATTAGCATAAAGTACAAAGTGTGGTCCCAGTGCCCCAGGATGAATAACTCCTATCATACAAGTAATTCCAAAGATTTTATATAATAAAAGGCTAATATGCAAATCAACCAAACAGCGGAACAACCAGTTACTATGATGCACACTGACCATCAGGGGGCAGATGTTCAACACAGGAGTTGCCCCCTGGTGGTCAGTGCGCTCCCACCGGGAGAGCGCCACTCAGCCAGAAGCCAGGCTCACGGCTGGCCAGCGCAGCGGCAGTGTCAGGAGCCTCTTCCGCCTCCACAGTGCTAAACATGTCCGACTGCCCGCTCCCTGGGAAAGCAGGCCTAAGCTGTCTGTCAGACATCCCCCAAGGGCATGAATTTTGTGCACTGGGCCTCTAGTTTAGACATAACTTCCCAGGAATCAGAGACAAAAGTCAGGCAAATTCCTAATTACACACTAGCTTCTCACACCCCTGTGCAGTACCCTTCCCTTGAGCATGAGCTGGACTGATAAATTGTTTCTAATAATAATAATAATAATAAAAAAGAATACAGCAAAAGATGAGATGCCACTTTTACAATTAGGCTATTCATACACCAACCTTGCTATGAGAATCTGCTCTTTGATGACTTTGATGAAATAAGGTTGTGTTTTAGGGAGGCTTACATGGCAAGAAACTAAGAATGGTCTACCTCAGCAGAGGATCTCATTTGATCAGCCCTTGAGGAAATGAATTCTTTCAACAACCACGTAAATGAACTTAGTACTGCATTCGTCCCCACTAGAGTCTTCAGATCAGACTCCATTCTGTCCTCATGATAGACTAAAACAAAGTATATAGCAGTGATAAGATTAAAAAACTAAATGAGCCCTAGCCGGCTTGGCTCAGTGGATAGAGCATCAGCCTTCGGACTGAAGGGTCCCAGGTTCGATTCCGGTCAAGGTCACATGCCTGGGTTGCAGGCTCGATCCCCAGTAGGGGGTGTGCAGGAGGCAGCCGATCAATGATTCTCTCTCATCATTGATGTTTCTTTTTCTCTCTCCTTCTCCCTTCCTCTCTGAAATCAATAAAGAAATATATTAAAAAAAAAACCTAAATGAATATTTTAGCTTTTCATAACATGAGTTACAAATGAAAACTGTAGGAGTATTTTACTGACATGTTTGTGACGAAGGAGGGTGTTAAATCTCCCTGCTGGATTTAGTGAAAGCAAGGCACTCTTAAAAAACATGCTAATAGTCCTGACTGGTTTGGCTCAGTGGATAGAGTGTCGGCCTGTGGACTGAATGGTCCCGGGTTCGATTCCGGTCGAGGGCATGTGCCTTGGTTGCGGGCACGTCCCCAGTAGGAGGTGTGCAGGAGGCAGCTGATTGATGTTCCTCTCATCAATGTTTCTAACTCTCTGTCTCTCTCCCTTCCTCTCTGTAAGAAACCAATAAAATATATTTTAAAAAACCCACAAAAACATGCTAATAGCCCTAGCTGGTTTAGTTCAGTGGATAGAGCATCAGCCTGTGGACTGAAGGGTCCCAAGTTTGATTCCAGTCAAGGGCACATGCCTGGGTTGTGGGCTTGTTTCCCAGCAGGGGGTGTGCAGGAGGCAGCCAATCAATGATTCTCTCTCATCATTGATGTTTCTTTCTCTCTCTCTCCCTCTCTGAAAACAATAAAAAATATATTTTAAAAAAACAACAACAAACTGCTAATAAAAATGCAAAAAGTGAGATAATCAGACAATTATAGCAAAACTAGAGGCCCAATGCACTAATTCGTGCACAGGTGGGGTCCCTTCTCCTGGCTGGCAATCGGGACCATCTCGCCCAGTCCCCATAGGAGGTTGGCCGGCAGGGGAGGGACTACGGGAGGGCTCCAGGGTGTGTCTGGCTGTCTCACCCAGTCAGGATCCACCAGATCCCAGCGGCAAGCTAACCGACTGGTTGAAGCTTCTGCCCCCTGCTGGTCAGTGTGCATCATAGCGAATGGTCAAGTAGTCCACCAATTGGTAGACAGCTCGGTCGGACACTTAGCTTATTAGGCTTTAATATAGATAGATAGATTAGCGAGATAATCTCAAAGCTAAAGAATAATGTGGATATTCAATGAGTAAAGTTTAAATAGTGCCTGCAACTGTCCTGACACTTAGTTTGTACTTAGGAGACCTTGGCTATGACCATGGTTATTAATCTCTTTAAAATGACCTACATTTGATTTTCCTTATATATAGACTAGAGGCCTGGTGCACAAAATTCATGCATGGGTAGGGTCCCTAGGCCTGGCTGGCAATCAGGGCCGATCTGTGAGGTGACCAGCAGGGATATCGGGAGGCCCCCACTGGTATCTGCCTTGGCTGGTGGCCTGGCATCACCCGCTCGCCAGCCCCGCCCCACCACTGCTGCTAGTCAAGGCCTGTGGGTTGGGGGCAGCTCCTGCACTGAGCGTCTGCTCCCTGGTGGTCAGTGTACGTCATAGCGACCAGTCATTCCACCGTTCATTCTATTTGCATATTAGGGTTTTATTATATAGGATTATATCCTAAAAAGTGTACTTGTCTCTTTCCATTACTAGATACTGGAGTAGGATCTCAGTGGAGGCCCAGTGTGCTGTGCACTGTGGTGAAAGTTTGTGTTCAGGACTATGTTCCCACCCCAAAAATCCATAGTACAGACACAGGAGATTGCAAAGTAAGCCATGGGTCCAGAACTCTATCAGGGCTGCAGGGAAAAACAGGGTGACTACCATTGTCTCATAGAGCCAGTAGGGATATAGAGGACAGAATCACCTGAGCAGTGCGTCCCCTGCATGGAGGAGAGGTGAGCACTCAACAATGAGACCAGGATCCTGTAGGTCTTCAGCATCACTTCCATAAATCTGGTCCCAGAATTCACATCCCGCTGTCCTCTCTCCTTAAGAGTGAATATCAATGCCACATACAAACAGCACTTGCAAAGTCTGAGGCACGAAATTCATCACAGTGGATGGGATCACAGCCGGACACCCCAAATGTGGGTGAAGGTGCAGAGACCCAGCCCAAATGACTGAGGTCTCCTGAGGGTTAAACTCCAACCTGGGATCAAAGGGGAGGCAGTCAAATCGTTGCTAAGTCTCAGAGAAGGTTCCATTGAAGAAACTGCTAAAGGTGACAAATAATGGTGTTGCCCCGAACACAGGGAGGGAAGCCAAGGGCATGTGCCCTAAGATGTAAAGGGAACGGGAGGAAATGCATAAATGCAACCATGGAAACAGGAGCTGCAGCTGAGCCACCCTGGTCCTCAGACTGTACCTGCTCCAGTGAGGGCTGCTCATCAGCAGTAGAGACTGTGTCTGATGCTGGAGAAAATAATGGTTAAAATCCAGCCCCTTGAGTCTGACACTTGTCTGTGGTGTAAACTTGGGGAACCTACTTCATTTCTCTAATACTGAATTTTTTTCAGCAAAATTAGTTTCCACTTCTCAGGTTGTTGTGAGAATTAAAAGAGAAAATGCTCAAAAAGCTCACACTGGAATCCTAGCAAAAACAAGTACTCCGTGTTACTTTTATTGATCTTCAAAGGCCAAAGCAAGCTCCATCATCAGCTTCACGTCACATTCAGCCAACCGAGATTCAGGGAGCTCTAGGAGTCACCTGGAGATTCCCAGGTTTGGAACCCATACTGACACCTCAGGGCCCGCAGCACCGGCTTCCTTGCTGGTGGGACATCAGATTCTTTTTTTTTTTTTTTAAATATATTTTTATTGATTTCAGAGAGGAAGGGAGAGGGATAGAAAGATAGAAACATCAATGAGAGAGAATCATTGATCGGCTGCCTCCTGCTTGCCCCCTACTGGGGACTGAACCCACAACCCGGGCATGTGCTCATGACTGGAATTGAACCTGGGATCCTTCAGTCCACAGGCTGATGCTCTATCCACTGAGCCAAACCAGCTAGGGTGGGACATCAGATTCTTAAAAGCCACTTTTCTTTCTCTAACACACAAAGGTGCTTGTGGGCATTGTGGGAGTGAGGGGTGCCTGGCCTGGGAATGTCTGTGCAGGCAGAGGGATGAGTTGCTCAAGTCAACACAGGCTGCAAAAATAAATCTTAGCTCTTCACCTCCAAGAGCTCAGGGGTGGGAACACACCTTATGCTTATTTTACCCAGGAGAAACCAGAAACCCAGACCAGAGAGAGGCGTCGTTTCTCTGGGAGTCCAGGGATATTTGAGAATTTATCCAGGATGCCTGATCCAGGGCACGGGGAGTTTGATCACTGCCCTCCTATTTCCCTCTGCACTGGCTTTGGGGGCTCCAAAGCATCTGGCCTCCTTAGACACATGTTCCAACCCAAGAACACCCATGAGCCGAAACCAGGCAAATGGGAGAACGCTACCAAGCAAGGGCTTGTGGCCTTATCAGATGACTGACTGGTCTTCTGAAAGTGATGGCGAATGTCAGTAGTGCGGGTTAGAAGTAGTGTTCATTGCGTGGTGTATAGCATTAAGAAATTAAAGTATATTAATCCAATACAGGAAAGAAACATTTATTTTATAAAGCAAAAATGGCACAAAATGAGTGAAATTCCAACATCCATCTTTGTTGTCCCGCTTCCCTTCTGTTAAAGAAAATTGCCAAAACTCATACCAGATTAGGCAGGACAATTAACCAGACATTTTACTACGGATACAGGGGTAGCAAATACACATCTAAGAAAAGGCTGGTCCTAGTCTCCAACAAATCAGAGAACAGAGTTAGCTTCCCTGCGCCAATGAGGATGGTGACTGATGCCATCTGAGGACACTGTATAGGTCAGTGGTTCTCAACCTTCCTAATGCCACGACCCTTTAATACGCCGGGTACTCGTATGTGGGCATATCTGCATGTGGGCGAACCCGCCTGGAGACGGATAAAGGAACGGTGTCTCGGTTCCTAAGACCATCGGAAAATACATATGTATTTTCCGATGGTCTTAGGCGACCCCTGTGAAAGGGCTGTTCAACCCCCAAAGGGGTTGCGACCCACAGGTTGAGAACCGCCGGTATAGGTGGTACAGGTGACATTGCTTCAGCAACAGACACATTCAGGGACATAGATCTGGCAGGACACCTGTGTAAATTAGAAAGTGCAACATACACACACATGATTTTCAGATAAGTTTATAGGGAATCTCCCTACTTTTGACATTCGAATGTATGAGATTCAAGTCAGACAAATAGAAAATAGAGTTTCCTATAGTATTGTTAAGACTGACCTTAAAAATTGTACATTTCCTATGCATATACAACCTTCTTCCCATGTGAAGCCTTATGTGCAAAATAAGGTTAGAATTTTGGGTACAATATTTGCCACATTAACTACACTCCTAAGTCCTTTCTCTAGTGTGAACTCTCTGGTGACTACGAAGGCTTAGAATACCGGTAAAAGTTTTCCCACATTCACTACACTCATAAGGGCCTTGTCTAGTGTGAATTCTCTGATGATAAAGAAGGGATTGGTTCTTGGTAAAAGATTTCCCACATTCACTGCACTCATAAGGCCTTTCTCCAGTGTGAAGTCTCTGATGATAACGGAGGCCACTGCTACTGATAAAAGATTTCCCACATTCACTGCACTCATAAGGCCTTTCTCTAGTGTGAACTCTCTGGTGACTACGAAGGGAATAGAGCATGGAAAACGATTCTCCACATTCACTGCACTCATAAGGCTTTTCTCCTGTATGAAATCTCCGATGATTACGAAGGCTATAAATTGTGGTAAAGGATTTGCCACATTCACTGCACTCATAAGGTCTTTCTCCAGTGTGAACACTGTGATGGCGACGAAGATAATGGATCATGGTAAAAGATTTTCCACATTTGCTGCACTCATAAGGCCTTTCTCCTGTGTGAATTATCTGATGACGACGAAGGCATCTAATCATGGTAAAAGTTTTCCCACATTCACTGCACTGATAAGGCCTCTCTCCTGTGTGAAATCTCTGATGATAACGGAGGCTACTACTACAGGTAAAAGATTTCCCACATTCACTGCACTCATAAGGCCTTTCTCCTCTGTGAAGTCTCTGATGATAACAAAGGCTAGTGCTACTGGTAAAAGATTTCCCACATTCACTGCACTTAAACGGCTTTTCACCAGTGTGAAATCTCTGATGATGACGAATACCAGTGCTAGTGGTAAAAGATTTCCCACATTCATGGCACTTATAAGGCCTTTCACCACTGTGAACTCTCAGATGAATACGAAGGGAATCGATCCTGCTAAAAGATTTCCCACATTCACTGCACTCATAGGGCCTTTCTCCAGTGTGAATCCTCTGATGATAAAGGAGACCAGTGCTACCGGTATAAGATTTCCCACATTCACTGCATTTAAAGGGCTTTTCTCCAGTGTGAAGTCTCTGATGATAAAAAAAACTAGACAATCTGGTAAAATACTTTCCACATTCATGGCACACTAAACGTTGTCTTCTAGTTAAAGCACTCTTGTCTTGAACAAATGTGTGCTTGCGGCCAATCGCTCTCTTATATCCTTTCCTGGTGTAATAATTTTTTCTGCTTTGAAAAGTCATGGCAGACATTGGTATTTCATTTGACTTATCCCCGGTCTGAGTAGCCTTTTGGTGATGTCCTGACCCCATAAGGATTTCCGGCCCAACCTCTCCGCAGGTAAAATGCTTCTGTGAGGCATTGAAATTGCCGCCCTCTGCAAGTGAGATCCTGTCCACACCACTGACGGAAAGTTTCTCTCTCATATGTTGCTCCTGGTCCTGGTGAAATTTTGTACTGAAATAAAATCGTTTCGCGCATGCCCCGCACCTCAACCGTATCTGGCTGCGTTGTGTTCCCTGTAGGTCAATAATGTGGAAAATCTTTTTCAAGACTGGCTCACAACCATTACAGGGGTGGCTCTTCTGGGAAGACAAGGCTACCTTGGGATTCCTTGCCTGTGACACTCTTACAGAAACCTTCTGCTCAGTCGGTGCCTCCACATTCTCTGCTCCACAGCAGCAACCTGAACAAAAGGAAATACTGGTGAGGTACATGTTGACCTTATGAAAACAGAGTATCTTCACCACAAATGTTTATCTGTCATGACTAGGCATGATTTTATGGGATGATTTTCAAGACAAGTGAGACTCTGAGGGAAAGGCAGTTATATATTACTTGACCCCAAAGGTCAACCAATGGTGGAGACCTCACCAAGGGAGGGACATGAGCATATGATAGGACACTAAGAACAGGGGCAAGGTACACTAGAAGAGAGGCAGGGTCCACTAATTGTTTCTTCTTTTTTTTATAATATATTGCTTTCAGATAGGAAGGGGGAGAGAGAGAGAGAGGAACATCAATGGTGAGAGAAAATCAACAATCAGCTGCACGCCCCCTACTGGGGATTGATCTTGCAACCCAGGCATGTGCCCTGACCAGGAATGAAATTGTGACCTCCTGGTTCATAGGTCGACGCTCAACAATTAAGCTACAATGGCTGGGCCACTAGCTGTTTCTTCAAAATGTCTTCTGTGGGAGATTTCATGCTGGTGATGTGAGTTTGTGTAGAATAACTTGAATGTGCTCAATCCCATAAAAAAAACCACAGTATTAAAGCACATGATGTTCAAGGTCAATATAAGGACACATGCACACTCCAAGGCTCTGCAGGCATGGACCAAGGTTAGAAAGTAGTAAAGAGAGACCTGTGGGGTAAATGGTTGAGGTGCATCATTTAGAGAAGTGAAGATTATCCACGTGCTGGGAAACTAAGTAGAAATGATAAATATTGAAACTGAGTGGTTAGTTGGCAAAGTGTCAACAACAAGAAAGAACAAGTAGAATGGAGTGGGGAACTGGCAATGGTAACAAAATATTGATGAACAAAATTGGTTCCTCGTTATGACTTAACAAAACCCTGGCATCAATTCCTCTCCAACAGCCCTTCACCCTGGCAAGACTGCCACGGGGTCCTCCCTGCCATGAATGGAGTCATGTTTCTCCTGTGATGCACAAATGATTCTTCCCCTTGAAATCCCAGTTGAGCCATTACATGGGAAATAGATGATAAAAATCCTAAAAGAAAACCTAAAGAACTGGGTGGTCAGCACTGCGTACAGCAAAGCACAAAAGGAACCACAGTAAAAACAAAACCAACCAAACAAAAAAAAACTATGTGAGTGACACCAGGAATGTGGGAGAAGAATTCATCTCCCTCCCAGTACAACCGTACAAGTAGAGAGCTATCCATGAACAAAGAAAACATAGCAGATGGTAATTAGCACCCAATAAAGACAAACAGCAATGCAGAAGAGAAAAAATGGGAGAACTGCATAGAAAGGATGATTAGGAAAACTGGTTGAGCAAATATATTTGAAGATGGTTACAGTCAAAAACAAGGGTTGGAGTTACCTCTATCAGCCACTGACGCTGGTGGCCTTTTCTATACAAATCACTGGAAAATTTTGTTTTAAAAAAACCACAAAAGTCCATGTAACATCTGTGAACTCCCCACAACACATCAAAGGACTCAGTTTGTTGCCATTAATTATAAAAGAAATATCTTTGGCCGCAACCTACTCAAGAAAAGAAACAAAAATCAGTATACCTAAGCAGTATTTTCCACCACAGACTCCAACACCCTCAACTGTCATGGAAAAAAAATTGCTGCCAAATCCACTGTGGACTCATATATTGTTGTTATGACCTTAGTTCATAGGACATCAAGGAGGCAAGGCTGTTGAACCTTTTCTCAAGATCAAAACAACACCTCTCCCAGTGAACACCTTTGATTCCACATGCAGATAAATCTATTTTTCATGGCCAGAATTGGTCCCTAAAGCTGAAAGGAATAAAAGGGCAACTGCTTCATCAAATGTAGAGAGAGCAACACAGGTCTGAATCAAATACTAAAAACAAAGACACCACCATGACAACATAATAATTTTCCACTAATCAATACAAAACTAATGGAGATCTGAAGGGTGTCCCAAAATTCACGCAAGAAGTAATTTTGATAGAAAACACAGGTTTATAATTAAAAATTGTAAATTTTTTATTGATTCATAAAGTATACAGTATAGGGTTATGTATGGACTAGCATATCGGGTAAATGGCCTCCACGGCTCTGCTGGCACATATGCACTCTTTTGTTATTGCCTGAGCAGCTGCATTTTTGAAGAATGGTCTGATGATGCCTCCAGCCCAAAATCCGCACCAAACAGTGACACGTTGTGGATGCATTTGTTTCTCAACAATCACTCGTGGATTTTTTGAACCCCAAATGCGACAATTTTGTCGATTAACCAAGCCATCAAGGTGAAAATGAGCCTCATCGAAATTCAGCTACATTTATGCAAAACGGTCATGTAAAATTTCAACAAAAGTGTGCATATGTGCCAGGAAAGCCATGGAGGCCATTTACCCGATATGCTATTCCATACATAACCCTATACTGTATACTTTATGAATCAATAAAAAATTTACAATTTTTAATTATAAACTTGTGTTTTCTATCAAAATTACTTCTTGGGTGAATTTTGGGACACCCTTTAGAAATGAGACACAGAACCTAGAGACAGAACCTAGAGACAGAACCTGGCTACAGAACCTGGATAGAACATGGCAAGAGAACCTGACTAGAACCTAGTGACTGAACCTGGCTGGAGAACCTGGACAGAAACTGGCTGGAGAACCTAGCGAGGGAACATGGCTACAGAACCTGGCTGGAGAACCTGGAGAACCTAGCAAGAGAACATGGACACAGAACCTGGCTGGAGATCCTAACCAGAACTTGGCTGAGATCCTGACCAGAACTTGGCTAGAGATCCTGGCTAGGCTGCTGATCAACTGAACGCTGTCTCTGTGTCATTCCTTCTTCACTGACTCCGTCCACACCTTTGGGGACCCCTGGACTTGCTGGGGTTGGACCCCAGCAATCAATCCCCCATTATCCATCATGTCCAATAATAAACTGGACTCAATAAAGTCTTCAAAAAACTCCTTTCCCCAGCTTTAAAAAAAGAAAGAAATGAAGAATAATTGATCCAACAGTAGAGGATTCTGAGAATCAAGTCAACGATTTGAAATATGAGGAAGCAAAAAACACCCAACCAGAAGAGCAAAAAAAAATAAAAAAAAAATTAATTAATAAAAAAATATGAAGATAGTGCAAGGAGCCTCTGGAACAACTTCAAGCATACCATCATGGGGGTGCCCGAAAAAGAGAGCAAGATAATTGAAAATCTATTTGAAGAAATAATTACAGAAAACTTTCCCTACCTGGTGAAAGAAATAACTTACAAGTCCAGGATGCACAAAGAGTCCCAAACAAGAAAAACCCAAAGAGGCCCACACCAAGACACATCATAATTAAAATGGCAAGGGTTAAAGACAAAGAGAGAATCTTAAGAGCAGCGAGAAAAGCAGCTAGTTACCTACAAGGGAGTGCCCATATGACTATCAGCTGATTTCTCAACAGAAACTCTGCAGGCCTGAAGAGAGTGACATGAAATGTTCAGTGATGAATAGCAAGAATCTAAACCCAAGATTACTCTACTCCGCAAAGCTCACATTTAGAATTGAGGGTCAGATAAAGAGCTTCACAAATAAGAAGAACCTAAAGGAGTTCATCACCACCAAACCACTTCCACATGAAATGTTGAAGGTTATTCTTTAAGAAGAGGAAGAGGAAGAATAAAGGATGAAGAAAAAATCTGAACAATAAAATGGCAATAAACACATATCTATCAACAATTGAATCTAAAAAATCAAAATAAACAAGAAATCTAATGAACAAAATAAAATGGTGAATAAAATATAATCAAGAGCATGGAAACATAAAACAGACTGATGAATCTCAGAGGGAAGGGGTAGGGGGCGGGAAGAGATTAACCAAAGACATTATATGCATTACCTACGGAAACAAACAAGGAAACAAACAAGACGATGGTGAAGATGTGGGGTGGGGCAGGAACCGGGTGGAGGGAAGCAATGGGGGGAGAGAAGGGGAAACATCTGTAATACTCTCAACAACTAAGATTTTAAAAAAGAAACAGAAAAAAAGGTTTCAACATTAAAAAAAAAAAAAAAAAAAGACTAAAATAAATTTAAAAAGAAATAAAAAGATTACAACTCAGCCCTGGCCAGTGTGGCTAAGTTGGTTGGATGTTATCCCATGCACCAAAAGGTTTCCTATTACGTTCTTGGTCAGGGCAAATGCTGGGTTTGCAGGTTCCATCCCTGGTCGGGGGCATACAGGAGGCAGGCAATCAATGTTTTACTCTCACTTCCATGTTTCTCACTATCCCTCTCACTATTTTTGTAAAAGTCAATTTCAAAAACTTAAAAACCAAAAAAGAGCATAGTTCAAATTAGCTGGAAGCTTTTATTAAAAAAGAAAAAAGCCCTAGCCAGTTTGGCTCACTGGATAGAGCGTCGGCCTGGGGACTGAAGAGTCCTGGGTTTGATTCCGGCCAAGGGCATGTACCTTGGTTACAGGTATATCCCCAGTAGGGGGTGTGCAGGAGGCAGCTGATCAATGCTTCTCTCTCATCGATGTTTCTAACTCTCTATCCCTCTCCCTTCCTCTCTGTAAAAAAATCAATAAAATATATTTAAAAAAGAAAAAAAAGAAAAAGATATTACATCTGACACTATGAATATAGAAAAAATGCCAAGAGTCCACTATGAACTTCTGCAATTAATAAACAAATTCAGAGCCCTAGCCAGGTAGGTGGCTTGGTCAGTGAAAGATTGGTGCCAATACCTGAGGTTGTAGGTTTGATCTCCCTTCGGGACACATGCAGAGGGCAGTCAATGAGTGCATAGATCAGTGGAACATCAGATCAGTGTTTCCCTCTCTATTTCTGTCTATCTGTCTTACTTCCTTTCTCTAAAATTAATAAAAAGTTTAAAGAAAAAATAAATTTGGAAAGGTTACAGGATGTAAAAATCAACACACAAACATCAGTTTCATTTCTGCACATTAACAATAAATTATTTGATAGAGAAACGAAGAAAGTAGTTAAATTTGCAATAGAATTAACAATAAACTACTTGGGAATAAATTCCACCAAAATGGTGAAAGGTCTGTACATCGAACACAAGACAGTGATGAAAAATGGAAGAAAACACAAACAAATGGAAAGACATCTGTGCTTTAGGATTTCAAATTTAATGCCCTTATAACATCTATACTACTCAAAGCAATCTACAGATTAAATGCAATCCTGATGATAATGTCAATGGTATTTTACAAAGAAATAAAAACAGTATCTTGAAATGTATGGAACCAAAAGACCTGGAAGAGCAAAAGCAAACTTGAGCAAGAACAAATCAGGTGGCATCAAACTTCCTGACTTCAATCTATTAAAGCCAAAGCAACCAGTGTGCTACTGCAATAAACACAGAAACACAGACCAATAGAACAGAACAGAAGACCGAAATAAACCCAGGCACATACATTCAAGTATCCTTTGACAAAAACCACAAGACACACAAGAAAGAAAAGATAGTTTCTTCAATGAATAGTGCTGGTAAAAATGCATATTCACAGGTAAAACAACAAAACTGGACACCACTGATAAAAATGAACTCAAACTGAATCAAATAATTAAATGACCATCCCAAAACTTAAAAATACTCAAGACAAGTTAGAGAAAAAGCTATGGACATCAGCTTTGGACATGATTTTCTGGATGTGACACCAACCACCAGGCAAAAAGGCAAAACTAAACTGTCTGGACAACAACAAATGAAAAGGGGTCTTCACATCACAACAGCAATTAACAAAATGAAATTAAAAGGCAATCTACAGGATGGGAGAAAATACTTGCAAATCATATGAACGTACTGCTTGGAGATATTGTGGATTCAGTTCAGATATCCACAATAAAGTGAATATCGAGATACAGAGAAAGTTATAAAAATATTTGGAGTTTCTATCTATACTAATAAAAGGGTAATATGCTAATTAGACTGGGTTGACCGGACATCTTCCAGGCGTCCGATTTCCTTTAGGACAAAGCCATGGTGGCTGGGGCCGAGGCAGAGGCGGTTAGGGGCAACCAGGCCAGCAGGGGAGCAGTTAGGGGGCAATCAGGCCAGCAAGCAGAGGAGGTTAGGGGTGATAAGGCAGGCAGGTAGAGTGGTTAGGGGCAATCAGGCAGGCCAGCAGGGGAATAGTTAGGGGGCAGCCAGGCTGGCAGGGGGACACTTATGAGGTGGGCAGGTCAGCAGTGGGGCAGTTAGGGGGTGGCCAGGTTGGCAGCGGGGCAGTTAGGGAACAACAAGGCTGGCAGGGGACCAGTTAGGGGGCGATCAGGCCGGCATGCAGAGGCAGTTAGGGGCGATCAGGCAGGCAGGTAAAGTGGTTAGGGGCAATCAGGCAGGCTGGCAGGGGAGCAGTTGGGGGGGGCTAGGCTGGCAGAGGGGCAGTTAGGGGGTGACCAGGCTGGCACGTGGGCAGTGAGAGGGCGACCAGGCCGGCAGGAAGTTAGGGGGCAGCCAGGCTGGCACAGGGGCAGTTAGGGAGTGACCAGACCAGCACGAAGGCAGTTAGGGGCGGCCAGGCCAGCAGAGGGGCAGTTAGGGGGCAAACAGGACAACAGGGGGTCAGTTAGGGGACGACCATCCTGACAGGGGACCAGTTAGAGGGTGATCAGGCCGGCAAGCAGATGCAGTTTGGAACAATCAGGCAGGCAGGTAGAGTGGTTATAGGCGATCAGGCAGACCGGCAGGGGGGCAGTTGGGGGCGACCAGGCTGGCAGGGGAGCAGTTAGGAGGCGACCAGGCTGGTAGGGGAGCATTAAGAGGGCGATCAGGATGGCAGGGGGGCAGTTAAGAGGCGACCAGGCAGCAGGGAGAGCAGTTAGGGGGCGACAAGCCTGGCAGGGGTCAGTTAAGGGGTGGCTAGGCGAGGAAAAGCGTAGTTAGGGGGCAACCAGGCTGGCAGGTGTCAGTTAGGGGGCAGCCAAGCCAGGCAAGGGACAGTTAGGGGGCGACCAGGTGGACAGGGGGGCAGTTAGGGGGTCACGAAGCTGGCAGGGGGGCAGTTAGGAGGTAACCAGACCAGCAGTGGGCAGTTAGGAGGCGACCGAGCACAAAGCAGTTAGGGGCGGCAGGGGGGCAGTGAATGGGTGACCAGGCCGGCAGGGGGGCAGTTAGGAGGCGACGAGGTCGGCAAGGGGGCAGTTAGGGGATGACCATGCCGGCAGGGGACCAGTTAGAGGGCAATGAGGCCGGCGAGCAGAAGCAATTAGGGGCAATCAGTCAGGCCGGCAGGGGAGCAGTTAGGAGTGATCACGCCGGCAAGCAGAGGTGGGTAGGGGCGATCAGGCAGGCATGCAGGCAGGCAAGCGGTTAGGAGCCAGCGGTCCTGGATTGTGAAAGGGATGTCCAACTGCCAGTTTAGGGCCCATCCCTGCGGGTCCCCCGAGGGGTCCCGGATTGGAGAGGTTTCAGGCCGGGCTGAGGGACCCCTGCCCACCACCACAGTACACAAATTTCATGCACCGGGCCTCTAGTCTATAAATACAAAAGCCTAAGTGACTATTACAACTGAATGACCTGAACCACTGGAATGAACAGTCAACCAGTCGCTGTGACGTGTACTGACCACCAGAGGGCAGAAGCTCAACGTAGGACCTGCCCCCTGGTGGTCAGTGCACTCCCACAGCAAAACTCCCCTGGCCATGCCCTGGCTATTTGGCTCAGTGGATAGAATGTCGGCCTGTGGACAACCCCCTGCCAGCACGGTCGCTCCCTAACTGCTCCCCTGCCAGCCTGCCTAATCTCCCCTAACCACTTTACCTGCCTGCCTGATCACCTCCTAACTGTGGATCCCGGGTTCAATTCCAGCACATGCCTGGGTTGCAGGCTCGATTCCCAGTGAGGGGCATGCAGGAGGTGGCCAATCAGTGACTCCCTCTCATCATTGATGTTTCTACCTCTCTCTCCCTCTCCCTTCCTCTCTAAAATCAATAAAAAACAAACAAACAAACAAAAAAAACTCCCTCGGCCAGCAAACCCCTGCGGTCCCTCCCCTGACCGGCCATCGGGTGATTGGGGGTACTCCACCCGAGCATGAATTCGTGTACCAGGCCTCTGATTAAATAATAAAGATATGTTTACACTATGCTGCAGGCTAATAAAAACAGAAATACTGTGTGGAAAATACTTTATCAGTACAGAGTGACAAGCTCAGGGAAATTCAGAGACCTAAAGTGACCACAAAGGAAGTTTTGAAATTAAAACTTTCTAACTAAAAGCAGTTAATGACAGGTAGACATGTTCTCAGCTGGAATATTCACCAACAAAAGTCAGTCCTTACCTTAACTGAGCCTGTCTATCATCTTCTGCATCTATGATAACATCCCTTTGGAAAGTCAGAGTAACATCCCTTTTTTGGGATTCCTCAGGGCACAACCAAATGCACCACAGCAGAGACTACAAATACTCTCATTGCTATTTTCATCATATTAATATTGATTATTAGCTATCCTGTCCCCAACTATGTAAAAGATTTACCATTTCAGTTTTTATCCAATTCCAGAAGCAGCCCCGCTTTGCTCTCTTCTGCCTCCTTAATCTATCACCGATGAATTTCATGTAACCCAGCTATGCCTGCTCTTTTGATTGTAATGTATCAAATAAGGTGCAAAACTGCCATTCTCTGGAGTATTATATCAATGCCTTGAGATTTTGCTTCCTAGCAACCGTTGAAAGTTTGGACCAAATAAACTCACAAAAATTATTTCCAGGTTTGAATATTTCTTATGTTCACACTGGTAAACAGCATCTGGGCTTACTGGAAGAATGGCCACACTAAACCTCCTGAATGCAGGATTGCCAAAAATGTTAACTTTGTAAAACCAAAAATCCTACACAGCCTGGCTCTGGTGGTTCAGAGGACTGAGTGTCGTCCCATGGACCAAGATGTCCCAGGTTCAATTCCCAGTCAGGTCAAATGCCTGGGTTGCTGGCTCCATCCCCAGTAGGGGGTGTGCAGGAGGCAGCCAATCAATGATTTTCTCAAATTACTGATGTTTCTCTCTCTCCCTCTCCTATCTTCTCTGAAATCAATAAGAATATATTCAAAACAGAACAAAACAAAAAACCCTCAAAATACCTGCAAAGCACAACCACGCACATGCAAAGAGACAAGTCAGTAGCTGTATGTAATCAAAATTTAATATATAAAATATAGAAGGTATTCAACAGAAACATTAGCCAAAAAATATGGTTAAAAAACAGGCTAAGGATATAGAGGCAATTTTCCCCAAAATATGTACAGCTGACTAACAGGAATATAAAGAATGCTTTTCCTCACTAATCAAGGTGGAATCCATTAGGCTCTCGGCCACAATACCAACCACAAACCCTGCCTAGGAGTTCAGTACAGGAGGTGTTGTGATTGCAGAAAAATTAGAGGCCAAATCAAACAAACCAGACCTACCAAGAACAGCAAGGGCCCAAAAAACTGGAAAGACAAGCAGTGAGGACAGAGCACATCCTGGGAAAAGGGGCATGAGGATATGTTAAGCCAAGTCCAGGTATCTGGTGAGAGTGAGGGTCTTACCCAGGGAGGATACAAGTTCAAAGTTGTCCAGCATCACATTCAGGTACAGCTGCCTCTGACCCTCATCAAGGAGGCTCCATTCCTCCCTGGAGAAGTACAGGGCAATGTCCTCAAAGGTCACGCCAACCTGTCAGAATGGAGACAAATGATTATTCAGAGTTTTGTGGGGTTTTTTTGCATGTTCGTTGTAATTCCAGTTTGGTCCTGGGAGTGTGTCTGTGTAGCATCCACTTACTCTGCAGCCATTTTTAAACTACCAAAATTGAGAAACCTGAAACCAAAGCTGTCTCTCTGTGAACCTGCACTCTTACTCCTTACACATCTTCCCCCCTCAACCTCCTCCAGGGCTCCCCAGTGTAGAGTGGACACCAGGCCCTAAGGCCAGTGCAGGCTGCTCTCTCATCACAGGCTCATTAGTCACTGTTACTGCCGTCAGCAAGAGCAGAGGGTTCGGAGCCTGGGAGTGCATGCATCTCAGCTCTGGGCAATGCCTGCAGGGCCCCAGCCTTCCTGCCAAGCAACACCACTGCAGTCTCGCAGACCAAGCCTCCAAGACTAAGACAAACCAGGCTTATGCTTCACCCTGAAGTCCCCACACCAGATCCCGGGGACCATGAGCTCACACTTCCTCCAGATGTGCACACCGCTGTGTCATGTCTACCTCCTTCCCATGTTCAGATCCCAGGTTCACTCCCTCAGCTCCGCCCCCTTCCTGCTCCAATGCCACTGGATCTCGCTGGACTCACCCATGAACTTGGCATATGACGTGTAGACATTGGAGTCCAGCCGGATCCAGGACCACCCCAGGCCCTTGATGGACCCACAGCCGGGAAAGCCCCAAATGAGGCTGTGCCGTCCTCCCTGCAGCCTCTGATCTTTCCGTCAATAATCACCACCCACATCCTCAGGGACCTTCAGATGCAAGTCACCCCCGTCCTCTCTGCCCTGCACTTGCTGTGACCTCAGAAGCCACAACACTCCTCTCTCCCCTCCACCTTCCTCACGGTCCTCCACGCGGGACTGAGCTGCAGGACGGGACAGGCGCCCTCCCCAGGCTGTGGTGTGTGTGTGAGGAGGCGGTGAGGGCCCGGGGGGCACGCACTCACCTCAGCCCCGCGCCTCCCAGCTGCCGCCGCCATCCGAGTGTGTGTGCGGAGCCGGGCGGGAGCGGCGGGAGCAGAGGCCGCGGCGGGAAGGGCGGTCCCTTTCCGGGCCCTGGAGCGGGTCACCCGGGCGGGGACATCGAGCTTCACACCCGCGCGTGTGCTGTGTGCACCACGGCCACGACTCCCGCGCCTTCTCCCTCGGGGCATCTCCACCAGGACCCAGCGATCTGCAGCCTCCAAACGTGCAGCAGAGCGGATCTGGGAAGAGCCAACATGCCCGCTGCGGGGATGCCGGAAGTCCCGCCCCTTCGAATTCAGCTTCGCTGGAAACACCTTCATTGGCTAAGCTGTCGGTATTCTACACATGGTGTTCTGGGTAATGTAGTCATTGAGTCCAAGTAAGTGATCAGGGTTTTTTTACTTTTTCTTGTTTTTCCCCTCATCACTCCTGTAGAAAACACGGAGATCGCCACTGGAGGGGCCATGAAACGTCACGTCCTCATGAGAGAGACATCTTGAAAATGGCTACAGAAAGCTGTCATCTCTTCCTGGTGAAGGGACGTGAGTCCATGTTGGTGAAGAGAGGTTATCTGTCCTGGCCATTATCACTGAATGGTTTAGCGTGGACTAAACCACTAGGAGGTCATGGTTTAATTACCTGTCGGGGACATGCCCATTTCAGGTTGATCCCCAGTAGGGGGCATGCAGGAGTCAGGGGATCAATGATTCTCTCCCATCATTGATGTTTCTCTGTCTCTCCCTTCTCCTTTCCTCTCTCTGAAATCAATTTTTTAAAAAATATATTTTATTGATTTTTTTACAGAGAGGGAGGGAGAGGGATAGTTAGAAACATCGATGAGAGAGAAGCATCAATCAGCTGCCTCCTGCACACCCCCCTACTGGGGATGTGCCTGCAACCAAGGTACATGCCCTTGACCGGAATCGAACCTGGGACCCTTGAGTTTGCAGGCTGACGCTCTATCCAGTGAGCCAAACCGGCCAGGGCTAAAATCAATTTTTTTTAAAAACCATATTTAAAAGCACACACACATTACCTGTGATCCAAATATAGTCATAATTGAAGAGCCATGCCTGCATTAAAGAGTCTGACAAATTTTATCACATAGATGAACTACTTACACCATAGTATATGTATTTGACAAATCTAACACAAGAATGTAGGCCAGCCTTTGAAATAGAAAAGATGCAACTCTCTTGTTTCATTATAATGTTAACGTCAATTAAAATAAATAAATTTTGGAAAAAGTGGGAGAGTTTGTGAACACAAAGGGCCACATATTAAACCTGACAGGCTCCATGGAGGCCTGAGTGGCAGCCTTACCAAGGCAGAGACCTAAGGTAACCACACAGGAGAGTCTGAAATTAAAACTTTCTAACTAAAAGCAATTCATAGGGATAGTCACATCCTTGAGTAGTATTTTTCCCTAACAAACTTCAATCTTTATCTTAACTGGGCCTATGTCTAATCTATTTACATCTTGGATAATGAACCTGATAACTTGCTTTTGGAATAACAAGTAATTTTCTCCCCCCTCCCCCCATCTCCTCAAAGCACAAGCACTGCAACAGTTTCCCCCTCATTGTTATTGTCATCATGTTAATTGCTGAGTGTTAACTATCCTGGACCTGTTGGGGCAAAAACATAATATTGGGGACTAGCTATGGTTACAGGAAATATTAATCATCCCGTGTTAACTGCAGTTGCCTCTTTCTGGTTAAAGAAAGGACTTTCTAGCCTGGCTGGGAGTTTTACACCCCCTGGACCTGGGAGTCATTCTTGGACCTGGGAATCCCACTTAGAAAGGGGTCCATTCCCATTCAAGAACTGCCTATTATCATGGAAAGATTAACAACCTTGTTGCCCAAACAATGGGGTCCCACCAGACCCCAAATTGCCTATTTCACCATGCTTGTAATCTCTACTTCCTTATATTATCTTGTTTTTGAAAAAAATATATTTTTATTGATTTCAGAGAGGAAGGTATTGATTTTAGAGGGAGAAAGAAACGTCAATGATGAGAGAGAATCATCGATTGCTGCCCCCTGCACACCCCACACTGGGGATCCAGTGATTCCCTCACGTGTGCCCTGAGAGGAAATTGAATTCTGAGCCACGCCTGCCAGGCATCCCTAGGTGACCTTTGTCCTACCTCATGTAAGCAGCTGGCGTATGTGGGTGGCAGAGCAGGTTTTTGTGGATGACCTGCTGCCCTCCCATATTGCCAGCAGTACGGGCATAAATGTTTATAGCATTCAACCCTGTCTCTGCTTAATTGGCTCAAGTAGTGACAGGCTGACCAGACCAATTGGTTTTCCAGTTTCATACCCACCTATGGAAAAGAAGCATGTGTATCATTTTAATTTTTGCCCAATCCTAGAGGTCACTCCTCCCTTTGCTTTCTACTGCCTCCCTAATCTATCACCCATGTATTTCACGTAACCCAGTTATGCCTCCTCTGTTGGTTGTGCAAGTACAAAATTGCCATTTTCCAGAGCATTTTACCATACCATTAGGATGTATCTTTCCGGCAACTGTCATCAGTTGGATCAAATAATTTCCAAAAAAATTCTTACATGTTTGTTAGTTTGGTACATTGACAAATTGAATTCTGACCAAGTTATTGGTGTTTTTGTTTATGTGAAAATGCTATTGTAATTACCATACTGACAGAGAATTTGCCCTTTACAGACATATTTAAGATGTAAGGTGAGCCCTAACCAGTTTGGCTCAGTGGATAGAGCATCGGCCTGCGGACTCAAGGGTCCCAGGTTCGATTCCGGTCAAGGGCATGTACCTTGGTTGCAGGTATATCCCCAGTGGGAAGTGTGCAGGAGGCAGCTGATCGATGTTTCTCTCACATGGATGTTTCTAACTCTCTATCCCTCTCCCTTCCTCTCTGTAAAAAAATCAATAAGATATATTAAAAAAAAAGATGTAAGGTGAGATGATGTTTTAGATATTCTCAATGTCATGATATATTGATATTTAGAGTAAATAAAGTACATATTCATAATGAAAGCTGACCTGCGTATAGCTCAGAAACTTGTTAAAACCATGAGATATTATAAATAACAAGTAATTATGTATATGCATATGTGCAATAAATATTGAAACTCAATAATTCTGTAAGAAGCTTGTTCTATGTAAAATATCAGAGCAAAAAACTAAATTTTTTTTCCAGAGCAAATATCAGTGAAATATGTTAGCATCGCCAAAGGAGAAACACATGAGGCCAAAAGAGGTGAAGGAGTATGAATTTATTAGATCATCTGGATACCAGATGGGCTGAGCCCTCACGTGGCACCAGCCCCCAAAGGTGGTGTCAGAGGTTTTTAAAGGACTCTCGGCAGGCTTTCTCTGGGTGGAGAATTCTCCGTGCAGGTCTGCATTCTGGGACACTCCAAAGAGGAGATGTGAGAAATAAGGCGATCCCCCCAATTCAGGGGTCCTGGTAGAACACAAAACATACTTGGGAGGCAGGCAGCAAAACAAATATCTTTACTTCGACGTAGAAAGGTGCACACACATGGTCTGGAAGCCCAGGCACAGAGCAGATGGTCTGCTTGGCTTTATAATCCCTGGTCCCTCACTCTTTTTTTTTTTTTTAAATATATTTTATTGATTTTTTACAGAGAGGACGGGAGAGGGATAGAAAGTTAGAAACATCCATGAGAGAGAAACATCGATCAGCTGCCTCCTGCACACTCCCCACTGGGGATGTGCCCTTGACCGGAATCAAACCCGGGACCCTTGAGTCCGAAGGCCGACGCTCTATCCACTGAGCCAAACTGGTTAGGGCCCTCACTCTTTTTTGTTCAGAGTGGGCCACCAGCACAGGACAGATTCAAATCTGGTGGCAATCTGATTTCTAGCCTTAAACTCCTTTTGGCACCACTCCTGGAACCCCAATGGGATCTGTGTGTATATGGGGGATCAAAGGAGGCCCTGGACTCTGTCCTCTTCCTAGTCTGTCTGTCTATTGAAAAAGGTTTATGATCTCCCAAAGTGAAACGGATAGCGAATTTATCAGAGTGCAAGTTCCACTCCATTTGCTGGGCAAGGCCACAAGTAAGACATCAGCACGGGGTATCGACGGTGCAGCACGATGGGCTTCTGAGGATACTCAGCCATTTATGCTTCTGGATAAATTTATCATAACCTCCGAGGACCTTTGTTACCCCCCTTGAGCGGCAGGACGTATAGTTTATGTCGGAGGACAGGGCTGGACTGCTTTTGGGGGTTCCTTGCTCTTTACTTCTGTTGAATGGGAACAACAGGGCAAGAGTGAAGCATTTCCCCAGGTGGTTTCTTTCTGGTACGAAGCAAGCACATATTCCATCCCCTTACTGTCTGAGGTCCATCCGAATGGGAATGGGACCACTTGGGCCTCTAGCCTTCCTGCCACGCAAGCATTAACAGTCGCTTTTATTTAGGGCTCGTACAGAATATTTAATCCATTCCACCCAGGCATTCATTCCCTTATATCCTACTTTGGTTTGCATGGTGGTGGCAGTGGCCTAGGGGATCTTGTCCTGTGACATCTACTCCTAAATCTAGTCCTAGTCAATCTTTTGACCTAAAGGCTGAACTACCCAAGTCATTCAAGCTATCTATAACCAATACTTAATTGGGTAAGCATGATCTGGATTGTACACCTTTCCCCAGCCCACATTGCAAGCACCTACAATTTGCCAGATCCCTAAAGCAAAGAGAACTCAGTACATGATGGTTATTAAGACAGCTCACAGTTTTTGGGGTCAATTTCAAGTGCATATGTGCTGGTATGGCTGTTCAAGTTGAGGTGCGTCCACCCTCGCTCTGCAGTCCGAACAGCAGTCTCTGTGGTAAGCAAGACAAGGTGGGGTCTTTCCCAGGAGGGTTCCAACTTGCTTCCCTTCCAAGTCTTGATTAGAACATAGTCTCCAAGTCCGATGGTGATGAACTGGAAACTCAAGAGGAGGGCCTTGAGTCAAGAGGCCTTATAACCTGAGAGAGATTAAAGTAGAAGAGATACCCAGTACCTAGTTTTTAAGAAATTGGTCCCTAGTCTCCATTGTAGGAAGATCTTGTGGCATTCCAGGAACTATTGGAATCACCTACAGCCAACTCTAGGTAAAAAAAAAACCTTTTCTTAAAATTTAAACCCTAGGAAGGTTGTCAAAGCATTCTATCAAAAGATTATATAGCATTCAAAGTGACAAGAAGGTATTAAACACCAACATAAGCTAGTAAAACTTCAGTTCCCATAACTGTTTTTGATACCTGATTAATATAACATATAATAATTTATAGAACTTTTGCTTTAGAAAAGGAATAAGCAAAATAAGGTTTATTTTCTAACTTCATTTGTCCTTGGGTGCAGTCAGCAAATGACACTAATTGGATTTCTGCTATTAGTTTCCCTAAGTATATTGATATAGGCTATTTACTCTCTGTTTAGGGAGGCAAAATGCAAATCATTTACTCTTAAGTGTCCTTGGTTTAGGGAAGATAGGATTTGGAGCCATTTAGTAAATGGCTCCAAATTGCTGTTTAACTATTTTAATTTTCCACTTCTACTTATCCTGGCTTACTGGCCTGTGTCATTTATTCATTTTTTTAAAAACTTTTTTCTTTACAAACATTCTATAACTGTTATAAATTTCTCTTGAGAAATCTTACAACTTTCAGAAATAACCAGCTTTAGAAACCATTTTCTTTCTCCTTCAAAATGCATTTTCATGCCTCATACTTTCTCTATTATACCAAAATCATAATTTTTCATAATTTTTGAATTTTTAACCCTTAGAAACTTTAATTTTTAGGTGACATGTAATTAATATTCCTCAGATTAGCAATACATTCACATTTTAAGAATATTTCAAATAAAATACAAGACTCAGTGGAATCCTATTTTCTTCCCATTAGCCAGAAAATGCATATTTAGAGAGCTTAGAAACTTGACCCAACAGAAAAGAAGTAAGAAATGGTGGACCTTGAAAATGACTTCAGGTTTTCTCACTGTGCATAATATAGTCAAACACTGCTGTAGTTAAATATTTTACCCTTTGTTCTCCCTCTGTGATCTACAATAATAGTGTGCTTTGTGTTGATATTTACTGCTGTGTTGCTGACAATTACCTGAAAGAGAAGTTGGGGTGCTTCACTGGGCTGGAAAAAGGTTAGCTAAATCAGAAAGCAGGTCTAATTAAGCAAGTTTGTTCTATATCTATAAAAAGCTAAGTTGACTTGCGCATGTGCAATACATAGTAAGCTGTAGCTGGTGCCAATTGCACATGTGTGTTTCCATGTGTCACTGTCAATTATGAATTTGGTTGACACTTCTATTATAGAGAAAGGGCAAATAGTGATATTAAAATATTTCTTTTAATTACTTTCCTTTCAATGTGCACTAATTCGTGCACCGTGCCACTAGCATTCAGATAACTGAGATGTAAGGAGCTCCAACGAGCCATCTGGAGAATCCCAGGTAGAAACCCGTACTGAACCTCACTGCCCACAGCACCTGTCTCCCTGCAGGTGGTTTAGCAGGTTCTTCTCAGAAGCACCTAAAATACAGGGCTTTGTGGGAATTTCAGGAAAGGAGGGGTGGTTGGCCTGGAAATGTCTCTGCAGGCAGAGGCAGAAGTTACATGAGCCAGAAAGGCTGCAGGCACAGCTGCTGCACTGCAAATGGGCACCTTAGCTCTTGATCTCCTCCAAGAGCTTAGGGATGGAGACATACCTCATTCCCATTTTACCGAAGAGAATACTGAAGTCCAGAACAGAGGGAGGGGTCATTTCCTTGTGAGTCCCAATTATATTCAAGAATCTGCAATTGATTGCCCTGGCTGGTTTGTCTAAGTGGATAGAGCATCGGCCCTTGGACCAAAGGATTCTGGGTTCAATTCCAGTAGAGGGCATGTACCTTTGTTACAGGTACAATCCCCAGCCCGTGTTAGGATATGTGCTGGAGGCAATCAGTCAATGTTTCTCTCTCTCTCTCCTCCTGTCACTTAAACAAACAAACAAACAAACAAATGGCATTCCTAGGGTGAGGATTTAAAAAAAAAGAAAAAAAGAATTTGCAATTCAAATACAGGGTGCCTGACCCAGGACATGGGGAGTCTTATCACTGCCCTTTCACTTCCTTCTGCACTGGATTTGGCTTGGGGACGCCAAAACACCCTGATCATTCTGATGCTATCTGGCCCATATGGCTCAGTTGTTTGAAGCATCATCCCATGGACCAGAAGGTCTCAAGTTTGATTCCTGATCAGGAAACATACATATATTTTGAATTTGATCCCAGGTTGGGGCATGGGTGGCAGGCACCCAATTGGTGTTTCTCAGATAGATTTCTTTCTTTTCTTGTGTCTTTGTTTCTCTCTCTCTCTCTCTCTCTCTCTCTCTCTCTCTCTCTACCTTCCTCTCTCTAAAATCAATTAAAAAATTTAAAACAAAACTTGCATGATAGCAGATGGAAAATGGGAGAACACTATAAAGCAAAGGATTATTGTATTATTAAATGTCTTGACTTCTGAAAATGATGGGCAATGTTAGTAGTGTAGACTAATAGTAATGTCTATTACATTATGCGTAGCATAAAAATTAAAAACTATTACAACATATTATTCCAGTAAACAAAATACTGCATAAAGTGAAAAGACACAAAATTAGTGAAATTGAAACATGCACCTTTGTTCTTTCATTGTCCTTTTGCTAAAGAAAACTGCCAAAACTCATAGCAGATTAGGCAGAACCTATGATCAGACATTGTACCAAAGATATAGACATAGCAAATATACATCTGAGAAAACACTCACCATAAAACCTTAGGAGAATACAATCAAATGAGTGAGGTGGCATGATCTATATATATAAAAAGTCAGCAAACATAACGCTGTAATGACAGGAATGACTGGTGTTATGACGCCCACTGTGGCCAGCAAACCGGCCTGATGAGGAGGTGGGGCCAGCCAACCAACCTCCCATGACCGCTCCCCCAGGATTCTCTCCCAGGCTGCTGGCCCCCGGACAGCACCCCCCACCCCATTCAGGGATGGTGCCGGCTGGCCAACAGCCCCTCCCCAAGGGTGGCTACGCCCCCAATCGGTCCCCCAAACCCAATCTCCTGTGGCCTGTCCCTTCTCAGTCCCCCATCTGGGTGACCCAGCTGGCCAACTTCCTGCCATCTCCTCCTCCTGGCAGGCCCAGCCCCGAACTGCCCTGATTGGGGCCAGGCCGGCTGGTCCCCATCCGTACACAAATTTGTGCACCAGGCCTCTAGTAAAATTATTAAAAAAGTTGAAATAACAAAAAACTGACCAAATATTTTCTAGTAGGTGGAGAAATCGAGTCCCTCATACACTGCTGGAAGCATGCAAAAATGTACAGTTTAGATCACAATTTGCTAATCTCTGTAACTTAAACATTTACCTACAGGATGACTCAGACTCTGCACCGAGCTATTAAAAAGGTCAATGAACCCTGCCTGTGTAACTCAGTGGTTGATCTTTGACCTATGAACCAGAGGTCATGGTTCAATAACCAGTCATAGCACATGTCTGGGTTGCAGCAAGATCTCCAGTGTGGGGTGCGCAGGAGGCAGCTGACCAATGATTTTCTCTCATTGTTGATGTTTTTCTCTTTCTCTCCCCCTCTCTTCCTCTCTGAAATCAATAAAAATATTTTTTAAAAAGGTAAATGAAAATTTAGTGCATATAAAGAATTATAGAGAAATGTATTTAGCAATTTGTTTTCAATAGTCAAAAACTGGAAATAATCCAATGTCCATAAACAAATGAATGGATAAAAGTAATAGTGACATATTTAAAGATAAGAAAATTTCTCACCATTCACTGTGTATTTACTTCATGTCCCTTTATAATCTTTCTCTTTCTAACCTTTATAGCTATCCAAGTAACCACTGATTTACTAATAGAAACTTGATATTTCTATATCTCTCCCTCCCTCTCTGTAATCAATAATTCTTTTTTAAAAAAAATATTTTTATTGATTTCAGAGAAGGAAGAGGGAGAGAGAGATAGAAACATCCATGATGAGAGAGAATCATAGACTGGCTGCCTCCTGCACATCCCCCACTGGGGATTGAGCCCACAATCTGGGCATGTGCCCTTGACCAGAATCGAACCTGGGACCTTTCAGTTTGCAGGCCAACGCTCTATCCACTGAGCCAAACTGGCTAGGGCCAATAATAATTCTTTCTTCTAAATATACTTTTGCTGATTTCAGGGAGGAAGGGAGAGGGAGAGAAACATCAGTGATAAGAGAGCATCAGAGGTCAGTTGCCTCCTGCACGCCCCCTAGTGGGCATGTGCCTTTATCAGACTTGAGCCTGGGACCCTTCAGTCTGAAGGCTGTCGCTCTATCCACTGAGCCCAGAGAGCTAGGGCTTGTTAGATTCTTTAAAAGTTAAATATTAAACTTATTAGAAATGTCTGCACTGTGAACATTCATAGAAAGTTCAACTCAGAGTTGTCTTCAGTGTCATTACACTGAGCAAGACACTACACATTCCTTAAAATCTTAGTACTTCCAAAGTGTGAGCTATCCAATGTCAAGGGGCATAATTTTAAGGTTAAAGAACTTCCCATATTCACTTCATGCTTAAAGCTTTGAACCAGTATGAACTATCTGATAACAGAAGCCATAGTTACAGATAAAAGTTTCCCAAGTTCATTGCACAAACAGGTCGTTCTCTTGTGTGACCTCAGTAATAACAAAAGACATGGTTATAAGGTGAAAGATTTCCCACATTTTTGCCCGCAAAAGGCCTTATTACTGTGTGAACTTTCTGATGACAGCAAAGGCCATAGCCATTGGTAAAAGATTTTTCTATTCACGGCTCTCATAAGACATTTCTACAGTGTTATATCTTTCATGATAATGAAGGTTACCACTATGTAATGTCTAACTCCTTCACATCTTTTTTTTTTTTTAATATATTTTATTGATTTTTTACAGAGAGGAAAGGAGAGAGATAA